AGTTAACAACTGTCCATAATTCCAGTCCCAGGGGATCCAACAGCCTCCTGTGTCCTCCACCGGCATTGCATGGGTGCACTTACCTACATGCAGGCGATACACACATACACAATAAAATAAAAATAATAAAGAAAATATTTAAAAATAAAAAGTAAATTAAAAAATTAAAAAAATAAAGGGGCTGGAGAGATGGCTCAGTGGTTAAGAGCACTGACTGCTCTTGTAGAAGACTCGGGCTCGATTCCTAGCTCCCACATGGCAGCTATGAGCTATCCTTGACTCCAGTTCCAGGGGAATCCAAAGCCCTCTTCTGACCTCCCCGGTATTGCACCACACGGGTGCACTCACTTATGTGCAGGCAATACACTCATACACATAAAATTAAAATAAATATATAGATTAATAAATAATAAATAAATAAAAAATAAAAATTAGTTTTCTTTGTCATTGAGTAGAACGCCATTGTCTAAATTATTATGTTTGTTTATTTTGTGTGTACATGTGTATTGTGGGCGTGTGTGTGCCTGCATGTGGAGGTTAGAGCACAACTCCGGGAGTTGGATCTCTCCCTCCTGGGGATTAAATTTAGGAGCTTAGGCTTGGCAGCAAGCGACTTTTGACCCCTCTTGCCAGACCTTGTTACTTTTTTTTTTTTACATTTTATTTACTTATTTATTTTATATATGTGCATGTATGTATGTAGGGGTGCACGTGCCACAGTGCACATGGAGATCAAAGAACAACTTGCAGGAGTGAGTCCTTCCACCATGTGGGTCTTGAAGATTGAACTCAGATTGTCAGGCTTGGTGGCAGGCACCTTCACCCACTGAGCCAGCTCCCTGGGTCCTACTTCCTTATTCTTAGGGTTCATTATGTAACACAAAATCCAGATTTCCTTCCTGTATAGAGCTGGGTATGGTATTGCTCATCTGTAATTCCAATACTCATGAGGCTGAGGTTGGGAGATCACCAAGAGTTCAAGGTCAGCCTGGGCTACAAAGTGAGACCTTGTTTCAAGAAAACAAAAACAGGGCTCACACCTTTAATCCCAGTATTCAAGAGGCAGAGACAAGACAGATCTTCGTAAGTTTGAGGTCAACCTGGTCTGTAAAGCAAGTTTCAGGGCAGTCAGGGCTACATAGTGAGACCCTGACTTAAAAACAAACAGCAAAAAAAACTAGATAATTTTAATTCTGAGAACCTCTTCTCTTGCCTTAAAAAAAACAAAAACAAAAACCTTTCCTTCCCTGCTAATTTTCCATATTCTTTAAGATCTGAATTAAAAGCTTTCTCTGAACTCTCTACCCCACATTAAAACGTTCGGTTTTTTTAATCTCTGTTATCTGGTGCCACTGTGCAGTTCACTTTGTCTTTTTAGATGTTTATCTTTCCTTTTAAAAAATAAAATTTTTTTTTGGTCTTTTTGAGACAGGGTCTCCCTGTAGACCAGGCTGGACTTGAACTCACAGAGATCTGCCTGCCTCTGCCTCTGCCTCCTGAGTGCTGGGACTACAGGTGTGTACCACCATGCCTGGCCCTCTATAAAATTTTTCTTTCACTGTTTGTGTGTGTGTCTGTTTGTATGCCATGTTTGTGCCAGTGCCTGTGAAGGCCAGAAGAGGCCTTCAGATCCCTAGGGTCTAGGAGTATAGTTGTGAGCCTTCTGCTGTGGGTGTTGGGAACTGAACCAAGTCTTCTTCAAGAGCAGTTTTGTGCTCTTAAGCACTGAGCCATGTCTCTAGGCCAAATGTTTATCTTTCCAATAAGATGATAGTGATCTTTACTTCCTTATAGAACCAAAATCAGTTTCTTACACTAAGTATCTGCTTATCATTTTAATTTTTTTAAACATTTATTCATTATAATTATTTCTGTTTCTGTTGGGGGCGAGTATGTGCATGCCATGATAAAAGCATTGAGGTCAGAAGACAGTTTGTATGAATCAGTTCTCTCCTATCCCATGTGGTACCAGGAGTCAAACTCAGACAATTAGACGTGTTGGCAAGCACCTTTCCACCTACTGAGTCATCTCATCAGCCCTCATTTTGTTAGTTTGAATTATTATTTTTCTAACGTATCTCTTGTCTGTGTATCTGGTACAGTAGAATTATAGCAAGAATTTAAGTATTTATAAATACAGTTACTACAATACATCCGTGAATTTAACAAACTGTAAATGTATTTAATTACTTCTTAGTCTACCACATTCAGGCTTGACATTTAGGCTTCCATAAAGCAATTCCATTTCATTTTTCCATGTTTTCCTTAAAAGATTCAAGTGACAAAGTGGAAAGCTTTTGTTCTTATGTGTCATATGCCATTAAACAGGATTTAATTAAAGATCTCAAGTCAGAGTTGAGTGGAAATATGGAAGAATTGATCCTCGCCCTGTTCATGCCTTCAACATACTATGATGCCTGGAGTTTGCGAAAAGCAATGCAGGTATTATACGTTTTTTTCTCTTTTTTTTTTAAATTAAAATTAATTTATTTTTTTCTTTTGCTCACCCCACCCCCTCAGCGCACCGGTGTGGCAGCCACATCCTGCTCAGGCGCACCTCGGGCCACTTTTTTTTTTTTTTAATTTAACCAAAAGAAAAAAATATATATGTGTATGTATGTATTTTATTTTATTTGTATGAGTGCATTACCTGCATATATATATAAAAGTATACCCATGTCGTGCAATGCCTGCAAAGGTTAGAAGAAGGTGTTGGATTCCCCAGGAACTGGAGTTAGGACAACTGTTAGTTGCCATGTGGGTGCTAGGAACTGAACCCAGATCCCCTGCAAGAGCAGTCAGTGCTCTTAACTGCTGAGCCATCTCTCTAGCCCAATATATATTGTTTTCTGTGACTGTTTTGTATTGCTTATTATGTAAAGCCCCACAAATTATGGTGGTTCTGAATTTGCAGTAATGATTAAAATAATATATTATTTTGTTTCATCTGAAATAATAGAACTTTCAGCCTAAGGGCAAAGAAATATTTGGTGGAATAGTAAGATTTAATTACTTTCAGAGATGTTTCCTGCTTCCATGTAATTCCTTTTTCGTTTTGATATAGGGAGCAGGAACTCAGGAGTGTGTGTTGATAGAGATTTTGTGCACAAGAACAAATCAAGAAATTCGAGAAATTGTCCGATGTTATCAATCAGAATTTGGTCGAGACCTTGAAAAGGACATCAGGTCAGATACCTCAGGGCATTTTGAACGTCTACTTGTATCCATGTGCCAGGTGAGTATAGTATGACTGCTTGTATGTTAGTGCAGGGAACATATATTTGTGCCTCTTCCAGTGAGCATTCTGTACTGCTTTTAAGATTTAGCCTCCTTGAAATACTGCTGTTGTTCAGAGGGACAGCATAGAATCCAGTGAACAGATTTCTTTGTAGTTATTACTAGGGTTTAGTTCTACAGGTCTGACTTTTGTAAGGAATAAGAAACTAAACTCAACTGTTATACTAAGTGAAATAACACAATCTCAGAAAAAAAATCAACATATGTTCTCCCTCATATGTGGATCCTAGAACCAAACCCTGATAAGT